GAAAGATACATAAACTGATAATTACAACACAACATGGTAACATGAAAATAAGAGTTATATGCACAGGGTACATATTTTTAGATTGGTCTAGCATGGTAGGTCCCAACCTTGGCTGTCTATTAGAATCACTTGGGAAGCTTTTGAAAATAATAGGGCATAAGTATGGGTAGAACCCAGAAATCAGTCTTCAAACAAAAACTCTCGTGGTGATTAGTGCAGCCAAGATTTAGAACCACTGGCCTAACTCGTAGCTTGTTGGGGAATTCATTATTCAGTCTTTCAATTAAGTATGCATTACTGGACAAATCCTAGAGATTAAGTCCTTTACCCTTCAATTCATCTATCTAGCCATCCAATTCTGATTAAGCACAACTGTGTGCCAGCTCCTGTACTAGGCCACTGAAAAAAGGGCACTGAACCAATTAGGTGAAGTTCATCCCCCATGGAGGTCTGGGACAGGCATATTCTAGTTTGGAGCACACCTGATAAATATATGATAGGCTCTGAAGATTTCTGCTGAAAATTCCTGTTTCATCCACAAGAGTGAGAAAAGGCCAAGTGAGTGACATGGCCCTTATACTCTGGGGAATAAAATTCAGTTCCTAAGGGTAGGCTCCCTTCAACTCTAATGGTTTGGGGCCGCACCAAACCACTGTGGCAGGTAGCAGCACACAGTCCCAGCCCAGCTGGGGAGGGTGTATGGAAAGTGCTCAATCCCTCCATGTGGGATGAAGCTTCCCTATACAGAGGCCCCCTGTTGTAGAAGGTGGACCACGGTCCCAGGAGGGACCATGAGACATAACCAACTTCCATTTTCAATAACACACACGTATGACAGAGATGATCGAGAGGGCTACTCCTCATGACCCCCGTACAGGATTAACAATAAGAGAAGTCTGCTTCAGGTGTGGCCCTCAACGTACATCATTTAATTCTCACAACAACCCCGCGTGGTAAGTACAACCTCCATTTTATGTGAGAGGGAACTGAGGCTCAGAGGCAAAAACTAATTTGCCCAGGGTCACAAGCTGGGATTCAAGGCCAGGACTTTCTGACTCCAAAGGCCTGTGCTTCTACTTTCCAGGAGATGAAGGTGGAGGAAGGAGGGAGGTGCGTTTGAGCTGACCATCTAATATAGCTATATAATACATCTCTCTTCCAGGTAGGTGTTTATTACTGTTCAGGCCAGCAGCAATATAGAGCCATTGGTCCTTTTTAAAAGAAGGAAAGTAACACTGACGCGTTTGGTCATGCCCACTTCCTGAAGGCAGCCGGGAGGGTGGAGAGACTGCAGGCAGGGACAGTCCTGACCACGTACCCCAGGGGCTCTTCTCGGGTAACCACAAGGCGAAAGCGAAAGGGGTGAGTGTGTAGACACAGGAGAACTTCTGGAAGAACTGACAACATTTGGAATTGAAGGCGACTCTGAAGTCCTAGCTTGGGAGACAGGATGGTGATGTCATTGGCCAACACAGGGCAGGCTGCTGGGGGAGGGGGAAAAGCATTGAGATTTAATTGCGCTGAATATCAAGTGCTTGTGTGGAGGACAGCCGGCGTGGCCCTCGAGGATGTGGGGCTGAGAGGTGTGGAAGAGCCAGGGGCACTTCTGACAGCAGCGCAGAAGGGACAGCTGAAGCTGTGGGAACGGAGGGAGCGGACCTTGGAGGAGAATGAACGGAAGCGGGGCTGAGTGTGAACAGGGGCTGTTTTTACTTTTGTTTTTACCTTACAAAGCCTAGAATTATCTGAAGTACACTTTGGTAGTCTGCAATTTTTCTCATGCTTGAAAAATTGTTTTGAAAATAACCAGGATGTTCACGTGTACGTGAGTTCCTCACATTTCCTCCTTTTGTGAAATGTTTGTGCCCTTATACCCTTCACCTGGCTTCCCCTAATGGTAACACCTTACACAACCATGGTGCATTGATCAAAACTAAGAAATGAACTATTATGTAAATTAGACCTTATTCAGATTTCACCAGTTGTTTCACTAATGTCCTTTTTCTGTTCAAGGATCCAAGCCAGAACACGAGATTGCATTTATAGATTTAAAAATGTATACCAGTATTTGCAAGATGACTTGAGACCCAAACATCACGTGCAGAAAAGCAAACCTAGGACGCAGTCTTTCAGTGGGGGTCACTAGGGTAGCAAAAAGTATGATAATTTACTATGGGGACAGAGGATGTTTAAGTGTGGTTGAATGGGAGGAATAACCTTTTTCAGAGGCAATTGCCTCATAATGAAATCCCTTAAGTAAAATGAAGGCAATGTGGCAGCAGGGCTGAGAAACAGACGGACTGAACTAAACAAGCAGGCTGGAAAATCATTTCAAGATGAGCTCCTGCCTTTTCCATTGGTTTATACACACGTAGGCCAGCTGGAGAAAGAGTTAGAAGGAAGGTGACTGAAATGAACTCTAGCAGGGACAAATGCAGGGTAGCATATCGTTAATGTTTGCTACTTAAAGTTCTTTTCTAAAATCCTAAAACTTCCACGACTGAGAGTATACAGGATATAAGAATTAATTGCAAATTTACAAATGGAATCATACTGGTATACACTTACTAGAGTACTACAGCCAGTCAGTTAGGTATCCAGTCAACAGACACTACTGCGTGCCTAAAATGAGCCACGTGCTGTGCTAAGGGCTGGAGACCGATATGTTCAGTGAACACAATTGATGAGCAGCAAAGAGAATTTCCAATTTCTCCTCTCTAGGCTGGGTGCCCTGTGCCTCCAAACACTGTTCATTACTCTTCTCACAATAACCGGCCAACTTTGGACACAGTAATCTCTAATACTCCTTAAACATTATTTATACAGCTAAAGTGAGCTGTGTATGTGGTGTTTCTGTGTGTAAATATATTTCACATATTTATTTTCTCTTCCCCTCTGGAAGCGATTCTAAGCCCCTCCAGAAGCACCGTATCTGCTGTCTCCTCTCTGGCACTCTTCAGTGTCTAATACTATAATTTACAAGAGGTCAGCCTAACGACACAAAGAACTGGAAAATGCAATATATGCAGAAAAGATAAAGGAACGGAGCTTGTTGTGTTTGGAGAAGATGTTGTGTCCAGGAGATTTAGTGGTGGCCATAAAAAATACAGACTTTTAAGACAGATAATGCCAATCAGCTTTTCTTCTCTCTGAGGATGGAAATTATATCAAGAAAGCCTTGAAGTCAAATATGAGAAGAAATTTCCTGAGAGGGAAGACTTAGAAGCATTAAAATGTGTCTCTTACAGGGATGCTTTTTAATGTAAATAAAAGAAGAAAAAGATCTGTTGCAGTTATTTAGAGGTAGGGGCTTGCTCTTCTGCTTAGAGGAGGAAAGGATTTCAAAGGTGGGGCCAGATGACCCCGTCAGTTTGTTCCTCTTATTCATTGCTGGCGCCGTCAAGGCAGACTGAATTGGCACGACATTCTCGGAATATCTTTTCTTTTTTAAATTACAAAATTTTTTTTAAAGGTTTCAGTCCATTTACAGTTATTAAAAAATACTGGTTATATTCCCCGTGTTGTACAACACATCCTTGTAGCCTATCTTACACCTACTAGCTTATACCTCCTACACCCACGCCCACCCTCTATTGTGTCCGCCCTCCACCGCTGCTAGCTACTAGTGTGTTCTCTGTATCAGGGAGTCTGCTGCTTTTTTGTTATACTCACTAGTTTGTTGTATTTTTTAGATTCCACATATAAGTGATATCATACAGTGTTTGTCTTTCTCTGAATATCTTCTTTAGGCTGATGTCCACTGGGGAAGTGCAGGGCAAATAATGACATAAAAGCCAAGCTCCGAAAAGCACAGGCAACATCCCATCTGGGTGATGCCCAGGGTTTCCCCCACTGTGGCTTTGGTGTACAAGGAGCTGGCCTTGTACCTGGCCCGTCTGACAGGAGCTCTTTGGGAAAGGGATGGAACAAGCAGGGCCTCCCAGGGGTCAGTTGTGGAAGGGACTGTG